ATCAGCCAAACTTCAGCATCAGCCGTAACAATAATTAAAAACCCCTGAATTGTGTAAGAAAATATAAGTTTTTTGAATAAAATACAAATAACTTGATTTATATCATATAATTTTTTTCCTAGCAATGCCTATACGTGCAAATAAGTCTATAGGTTGTGCATGAATGACAAACAAATTGCATCGTCAATGGAACATGTATGAAAAACTTGCAGCTATTTTGTACTATAAAAATGGTCATAGTAAAAATAATACAGCTGCTAAATTTAATATCAAGACTAAACAACTTCAGAATTGGATATCCAAAAAAGAACAACTTTTAAAAGCACAATCAGGTAAAAAAAAAATTAAATAAAGGTGCATTTCCTAAGTATCCGGCTTTAAAAACTACCTTTGTTGAATAGATAAGAGAACAAAGAAATAGTCAAAAAGCTGTTTCATGATATATGATTCAAGTAAAGGCAAAAATACTTGCGTAGCAATCTCAATGGAAAAATACATATCCTGGTATTGAATCTTTTGCTTTTTTAAATAATGGTTAGATAGTTTAATACATCGTAATAACTTGAATAATCATTGAAAAACTACTACTACACAATGTTTGTCTAAAAATCTAATTGAACAACAAAATCAATTTTTACTTTGGTTATATATTGATATATACAAAATAATTATCTATTAGCACTTATTGGTAACATGAACAAAACACCTATGGCGTTTGATCTTCTGAGTAATACTACAGTTGATGAGTTAGATGCCCGATCTATTAGTATTCAAATAACAGGACACAAAAACTCTAACTTTACTATAGTGTTGAGTTGCATGGCTGATAGTACAAAGCTTTCTCCTACTGTGATTTTTAAGCTTAAGATTATTCTTCGAGGTAATTTTCTACCTGGCATAGTTGTTTGAGCTAATCCTTTAGGATGGATGAATAAAGAAGAAATGCTTTATTGAATTGAAAATGTTTGGGTTAAACACATACCACGCTCTAATCCACGGTCTCTATTTGTTTTAAACTCATTTAAAGCACATATAGTTGATCCTGTAAAATGCCAATTTGATGAAAAAAAAACTAATTTAGCTGTTATTCTAGAGGCTAATAAAGAATTTGCAGTCTTTAGATGTTGCAATAAATAAATCATTCAAAACTAAAGTAAGAATATTCTTTTTTTTTTAATTATTATTTACTTATTTATTGTT